AAAATGGTACATTGTAACAATATGATCAAACTGAATAATCCGAGCATTTCTTATGTTAATGCGATTAATATAAAGTTTGTTATGAAATATCATTTTTGTAAAATAGATCCATTATATAGATCCAATAGGTAGATCCGCAGATGTTAAAATTTCAAATGTTAAAAATGTTAAAAATTTCAATTTGGAATAAGAATTCCAATTTGTTAAAAATGTCTTCCTAACTTTTATAATTTTCTTTTTTTTTTTCAATTTGGAATAAAAAACTAAGGTAATCCACGCCTTATTAGAAGCAGCACTATGGATATCACAGAATACCCACTTAAATAGGCACTATATACATATTATTAAATCTGTTTGAGATATTAGTTTAATAGGGAGATTATTTCCATTTAGAGAATTTTAAGTGCCAAATAAAAAATTACTATTTAAGGAAATCATCTCAGTCGTAGTACCTAATACATATTAGTATATTTGTTATCTATAATATGTATAAGTTTATATATTTTATTCATATAAACTTGTACAAAACTTGTTCCTTGGGTACCTCTGTCTCAATCGTGTTTCTACCGTGAAACAGTTGTGTTTGCATGGCTGTGTTTCGGTTTGAAGTGTGGGATATGGCGTGAATTTACAGGGTACAGAGGAATAACATCTGAGTCCTCAGGAATGGCAACGCATGGGGGGTATCATGGGCGAGACAGTATACTCTGTTATGTTCATGGTACTGCTCATGTCTATAGGCGACGGTTACCACTTTCCATCAGGTGGGCCGTCAGCTTGATTGCCATTCTAAGTTGTATAAAAAAAAAATATTTATTATTTATTTGTGTTTATTTATGTAAGTATAAGTATTTTATTATTATTATGCGTAAGTATATATATACTTACTTACTTAGTTTTACTTCTTTTTTTGATCTTATTATTATTCTGTTATGCCTTGATTTAATTTTAATTATTCCACTCTATCCTAAGGTTGCCTGGAAGAGATCTCTATTTAGCGATAAGGCCAACCATTTTTGCCTTTTTATCTTGCTTTTACGTAATTGAGTTTATGTAATTAAGTTTATGTAGTTAAGTATTCATTTTCTTGTATGTATATATTGTAATCTTTTAAATCTGTGTCATTCTTTGAAGGAAACAATAAAGAGTTTTTCATTAATTTTAATCACTATTTAGTCCTATGGATTCGAACTTTGATTATAGTATCAACTCTATTATTTTATTGAGACAATTTTAGAAATATTAACCATAATTAATTCTGAAACCTCTCATGTTATTGCAATTAATTATTGACGAGACAGACAATCGCCAGCTCTACATTTTGAAACGATTAAAATAATTAAAATAGAAGCTTATACTAACTGCCGACATCGTCATGAAATATCTAATAACAGTAAGTGCCCTACAATCAATATTAATTAAAAATCTAGTAGATATTTCGAATCAGACAGCGAACATCGTTGACATACAACCCAAAACACCTGCATGATTAATTGAATGGCCTGTGCTGACGAGGGTGTTTTGCCGAGTACAAACATTCTCTTTACATTTAGCTTTAGCATGCCTACCCAGGCTTTTAAATCTAACGAAAGATAATCCTAGGCCTAAATTTTAGTCTGGTCATAATAAAAACTATAAAATTGCATGTCACAGTACATACATCGTGCTGCTTTAGTATCTTTTTAATTAAAAATTTTAAGAAAATTTTAAATTTTATTTATGCTACTTTTTTATCTATTGAATTTACAATGCAATATTATATTTAGGTATCTGTTTTTTTGCACATACCGGCTCGCCTTTTATGTAATTTATTTATAGAATACAATACGTGATAAAGAAGTCGACGGCATACTTGATACTATGTAGTAACCCACTACAAAATATACTGTGTTGCCCCCTTTTACGTTGACTTCCTTGAAGACTAAGGTGTTCCTTGTCCTGTTTAATTCCCACCCTTCTGGCAAAAAAACTAACGGAAAACCACAAATAATATTTTTTTTGTATAAGCGATTTTTATATAAAGTTTTTCTCTGGTAAATGATAAATTGTTACTAACTACTGTTGGCTACCTCTTAGTACTTCTACCTCGTATTAAATCAGGTTTCTAGGTACATACGGTATTGTTTTTTGTCTCAATATGTTCCTGGTCAATCAATATTTTCCGAAAAGAAAAAGGGTTGTTAGTAATACGGATTAGTAGCCCATTGCTAGCAATATACCACCTGGAAACCATTGTGTTTGATTTATTGTTAGATTCGTCACAGTGGACTAACTAAACTGCTTTATCCTGATTTACCATCCCTCATTGGTGCCCCGCCAGTATATATCAATAGTGCAGGCGAGGTTATCATTCCATTATCATTCTATAAAAATCAATATTTCCCTTTTACGCGTATGAATAAAACATACGATCTCAAACAGTAAATTATTTAAATACTAGCTTTTACCCACGATTTCGTCCGTGTGAACGAGATATGTTAACTGATTGAAATAAAAAGTAGGCATATTTATTTATTTGTTAACCATATGGTATTATCTATCAGTCAAATGTAGACAGAAATAAAAATTAAAACATGTATCCTTTCATCCAGTGTATACCAAATTTCATAGTGATACTGTTAAAGTGTTATAAGGTGACAAACAAACAAACTCACTGTCTCACAAGGATATGACGTCATGTAAAACATGTAATGACAATCTTGTAAACTCCTAATGTCCATCATTTCCGCGTCGATGCGCTAAGGGATTCATAGTTAATACAATTGTAATTACGTCGAACCCGTCCCGTATTTCATCTTTGTCGACACATCTAAAGGGAATTTCATCTCCTCACTGAGACTGCTGTAGGTACGTATTTCCTTTGGTATCTAATAGTATGGATTAATATTCCTAAACGGTGAGTGATATTAAATTATCATTATAATTTCTGTATTTACTATATACGTTGTTGAATTAATAATGTAGATACTATTTTAGAATAATTGTAGACTTTTCGAAATCCTATTTATTAGTTTAGATTTAACAGGATTTTATACAGTTTTACAACTCATTTGTTTTATAAAATTCGTGTAATAAATGTAAAACAAATTCATGTATGAGTAGCTGTCTAAGTGCAATTGAGTAACAAATATCTAAAAATATTTACAAATTTTTAAATATTAGTAGTGTAAGATGATGTTTATTTTTTACTTGTGCCTATTATTAAATATTAACATAAGAAGTAAGTATATTTTGGAATAATGTTTGTGCAAAATATTATTATGAATGTAACAATTCATTCACGGTAAACTTTCAGAGAGAATCCTGTTAACACATACATATTTTTTTCTGCAACTTTGAATGGCAAACAAGCAGACGGTCTGGGACGGCAAGCAGATGGAAAGTGCCGTTGCCTTCAGACATGAACAATATCATAGACTTAACAGACACTTACCTATTTCGCGCATGATACTCCTCATGCGTTGCCATCCCTAAGGACTAAAGTATTATACCTCTGTACTATATAAATTTACTACCATACACCCACCCTTCAAACCGAAGCACAGCTATGCAAAATACAACTACTTCACGGTAGAAACACGAATGGGACAGAGGTATCTAAGCAAACGACTTTTGTACGAAGTCTCCCAATGGTACAAAAACGGTCAAAAATAATTAAATTTAAAACGTTCTACTTTTTTAAGAAAAATAATACATGTACGTTATAAAATATTACTTTTAAAAGTATGAGTTAATTAAAGAATAATTAGATATTGTAAAAAATTGTGTGTGATAAAAATAAAATGAGTTAATATGAAAATTGCAAGTTAAACTGAATCTAATGTCCAACAAAATGATAATAATAGTACTAGTACTTTTATAAATTATTATTTTAATACCATAAATAAAATATTTGTATCTTTTTAAATTCAGCTTTGTATGAATTATTTATATACTTGAAGCCACATATTCTATGAAAAAAATTTTTAGTATGCATCACTTATTTTTAATATAAATTATTTGTCTTTATCTTAATATACTAGGCACTGTTATCTTTCACTATAGAATTCTTCCTATATAGCCCTCTTATCATGCTGGCCAAGCGTCTTGGTTAGTATTTCATTAGATGTCATTTTGCCAATTTTGAGTTAGGTCATTTATATATATAGACAAGGATATGACATCTTAGATTAGTTTCGTAATTTCTTATTATATTTTTAATGTTTTTAACAGCAAATAATTTGCTATGAGTGGTAGCTAAACTTTTTCAACTATATACCTAACTTAAAAATGGCTAACGCGTATGCAATATATGCCGTCTTGTTAATTTATTTACATATCGATTAACTTTAACACGCTGGGATATTGGGTTAAATGAAACTGACGCTTCACGTTCTTTTTTTTATTTTTTTTTTATGATGCTGTCATTGTGAAGTGCGATAATTTATTCAGAGTTTATTCTTTTCGGTTTTGGTTGTAATTTTTTGTGTATTTGTTGTAATGTTTTATGTATTTATTGTAGTGTTTTATGTATGTGTTGTAATGTATTATGTATTTGTTGGTAAGCGTGTTGAGTCTCCCATCCGAGAAATAGGTATTAGCGACCCGCACGCATGCTAAAGGTAAAGAAGTTAAGGGGCCGCCTGAAAATCAGCGCTATATAGGTACATCTCGCTGGAGCTGTACATATATAGCAATAGCTGAGGCGGCTCCTATTACCAGCAACATTAATTGTTTTTTTTTTCTTTTTGTTGTTTTAATTTCTTAGTAATGGTAATAAATGTCACCTATCTATCTATCTATCTATCTCAATACTTGGTTAAATATTTAAGTTATTGGGTTACAAGAAAGGGTGCTTTGACAATTTCACAGGGTGCTTCTTAGTTTATTGCTACGTCATTGAGTGTAACAATTGATTTTGATATTAACTATTATAAACTTTACTTTCAAGATTTAACCCAAGTAAGCGATTAGGGAGAGTAACAGAATGGGTACAAACAAATACAATCAAACAACATCAATCAATTCTCAGTGTTTTATATTTCAACTCATCAATTGCTCTATATAATATCTATACAAAATTAAACATAGTTTCACTACACTTAGTGTAAATAAATATTTACGCCATGATTTACATTGAATTACAACATTTCAAATACTGTTTTCCATAATAGCAATATTTTTAAACTTAGTTGTATAGAAGCGAAGTAGTTTTACATTTGCCCAGCTCATAAAATGTACAACTCTTCGCTGAGCTATCTAAATGGTAAAGATATAATGTAGGTATTATGAGTAAGAGATCAACAAAAAATTCGAAACAGTCTTAATTATAATATTGACTAGAATATCATCGGTACCTATAATATAAATAGTCTGATTAGAACCAGATAAGAGGTGGGTAAAATGACATTAGTTATAGAACGATCACAGTTAACTTTTAAGAATCAAACGGTTGGTTTAAGAGTTACAATTGAGACGTTGTTTAACTCTAGCGACTGAATAGAAACCATGAGTAAACTTTCAACGACATACAATAAATGCTATCTGATTATTATATATGTACACATAGCTTACTTATTGGAAATAACATTTAAAATTTTATATAATATTTTAATTTTTATTTGACACGTAAAACGCAATGCGCACTTAATAGTAGGTGTTGGGATTTGTTTCGGGGAGCGGAATATGTTAGAGTTAATTTATTAGTAACGTGTGGATATGTTCGACGAAGGTAGTTTAGTACTGTTGTCTGTCGTCCTCCGCCGACCCGTTGGCTTTTACCTCCTTGGGCACAGCCGGCTGGAAAATAGATTTTTTTTATAGAACGAAAATGAACAAATTTATTGCCTATGTCCACTTATTTACATAAAATTTATTTATATTATTAAAAAATATTAACATTATGAGAATAGATAAATTGTATTGTATTGTTAAATCTTTATTGTACATAATTATTATTAGACACATTAAAAGATTTAATATACATTAGCAGACTTAAATATTTAATTATCATAACTTTAAGTATTTATTGATCATTTATTTTTATTAAAATTTAATTTCAATAAAAATAAATGATATTTAATAACATTATAATTTAAGATTGTGTTTCTAAAAAAACTGGCTTTAATTATGACAAAACCAGTTACTTTGAGTTAAAGATTAAACTACTGAAGCGATTTTAATAAAATTTCTATGGGGTTAAATGGCTATAAATAAACATAAAATTTAGTCGATAGATGATAGACATATTTTTGGCTTTATCTGTATGATGTAGGATAAAAGTCACCTATGTTTTAAACTGAGATATTGCCAATCGGAGTACCAGATGTTATTTAAATACGTTGAGCAATTTACTTTGATTGGGTAACTCCCAAACGTCCTAATATTTAAAAAAAATGTGTATGACTGGAATAATTTTCAAATGCTTACGTACTTCATAGGGCATTAGAAACATATTGTTGTCTGATCGGCGGCCAAATCGCAGACGCATTGATGGAGCACGGACGTCGCGGTCTTGTTCCTGAGAAATGCAAAGAGTTTAAAAGAATTTTTATTAATAAAAAAATATATATATAAGATGAAGGAAAAATCAAACTAACTAAACTTTAAGGCTTTTTATAAATATTTTAATTTATTTGCAGAACTTTATGTGACGCGTTAACAGGTGCAGTATCTACCCATCTGATTTTCTTATTGCTAAAAAAAAACGTTAAACATTTCAATTTTAGCGCGAAAAAATATTAGCAATAATAAACATTAGGTATTATTAACATGTAATCGAGTTGTTCTGCATCTTAAAAAAAATCTAAATAAAGCAAAAAAAAAAAATAATACACGCGTATTAAAGAGTACCACATAAAATATATATGACATTTTCTGCGTCTGCCACAATATGAGTATAGCTATTGACATTAAAAAAATACTTCGGTATAAACCGTACACTGTGTAACAGGTGTGTGTTATATCATGCAATTTAAGAGACATTATTATAATTGGACTAAAATTTATAACGCTGAGGATTGTTGTTCGTTAAACTTAAAATTTGGAACAAGAGGGCTAAAATACAGATTTACGTCTGTAATCAGTAATTACGTGTAAAAATTATATTGAAATCGAAAATTAATTAGAATTTTTTTATTGTAAACTGATATTATTAATATTTCAAAGACGTAGAGGTAAAGATTGTGAAACAAAATGTAAAAGAGAACTAAAACTAACTTGACTTTATATTTACTTATATTTGCTTTGTATTTTCACTTAGTCTTCATCGAAGCTAGTAAATAGGAAATTATAAAATGAATGATGATATTCATTTATAAAGCAAAAAAAAAAAAAGTCCCAAATGTCTCTACAATATAAAAATATTAAAATAGATACGACTTGATTAATCATGAGTAAACTGTTGTGACTTTTACTCATATATTTGTTCAGATATATATACATACATAAAATAAAACCTTTTTATGATAATATTTAAAAACTAATAATAATAAATGCTTATACACTTGAACACCAATAGCCTGGTCCTCAAGTTAGGGTAGCCTCTATTACGAGGAACCAGGCAACCAACATTTAGGAGAATAACCTAGAATATACAGACCCGAGTCAATTTAGAAAAGTTCGTTTCCTAAATTGTTCCAACTGAAGATTGAACTCGGGACTTTAATTATTAAAGCAACATGTCAATCACTGCATCACGCAGGTCGTTACTACTATTATGTATTTTAATATATTATAGCTTAATAGAAATTAAATACAAATTTATAATAAAGGCAATGTTTCTATCTGTTATTCCGAAATTGCCTATAAAATACTGATCACTTCATACAACCCAACATCATATATAGTTTTATAAATAGACTATATTTTTCCGTATCCGTAAGGATTTCCCGTGAGTATAGCTAACAATAAAGAATTGTAGTGTATAAGAAACTTACAAAATGTTTATTGTCAAATTTTGGGTCGTGTGTTGATAGATTAGTCTTTTAAGAAAGGTTTTTTTTTCATAATATACCTAAATTAGATTCGGCGAGGTACAATATTTGAAAATAGTAAGTAAATTCATATACGAAATTTATGATATGATCGTATTAGTATTTTTAAAATAATTTCATGATATTGGTTAGTTACAATTTTATAATAAGCATATATACATATACATATTGTAAATCCGAATTATGTTAAGACTATTGAATAATAGTAATAACAATAGGCCAACTTAAGTAACCCCAGTTTCTCTCACGTTTAGAAACAGTCAAAGCAGTGAAACAAAGTTAGGCCCTTAGGGTCGAGACGTTGATTATTAACAGATTTACGTAAGCATCAATTAATTTGATGTAACATTAGAGAATTATATTAAACTAGTAGAAATTTGGGAGAAGGTTTTATTTTATATTATGGAACGGCTATTATTTTATATTAGCTGTAACTCACTACTATGAACGCGTAAATTATGATTGAAAGTAATCTGTGTGATTGATGATATAATTCAATTGATATGTTCCATATTTAATTCATACCTATTTATTATTTATTTTGAAGCATGATTGAACAAACATTCAAATATCAACTATCCAAACATCTTACATATTAATAATATTGTAGTAGAATTATGTACTTTTTATATATTTAATTTTGTTTGAATAAACATAGAAAAAAAGAAAATAAAATGTTCAGTGCATATTAATAATGTTTGTTTATTATATTACGTTTACATTAGCCTTTTATAACAATAGGGTTTAAGCTATTTTGGGGTAACATATTTTAAAAGATAGTAACGGAACTCCTACTCAAGTAGTTTGGTTTTACGAGTAAATCTATTTTCATGATATGGTGCGTGTACAAATGTTAATTTTATCTAATATAATCATATTACAAATAAGTAGTAGATAAGTGATTGATCATAAAAAAATACAACTAATTCTTCAGCTTATGTATATAGTTGGGCGATTATAAAAATATAGGTGTGTAAAGAAGTTATTACTTTCTTTCAACTATAACCTTCAATAGCGAAAAAAAACGTCAGAATTAGATGCTAGATTTTATAATAATTTAGGAGTTTGCTCCGAAAAACAGCAAGACAAAATTAATAATTGAGCAAAACGAGAGCAAACCTTGTCAATTTAAAATATTACCATTATCGTTAATTACTACGAATTCTGCACTTAACTAAAATATTTATGTGCTTTTTAAGCATTGAAAAATGTGTTAAAATATTTAACCCTACTATATCAGTGATGGCACTTTGAACGATTGTTCTTTTAAACATAGTTCTAGATAATATTTACCCACCCAATACCAAATATATGCTAAAAGATATTATATTAATAATATGAAATTCTGAGCTAAATAATCATAGTTCATAATATATTAAATTTCTTCTGAATATTTAATTTATTATTTTTCAAACTTAGTACATTACGTATTATTATTATTATTTCAGCTCTTAACTTCCCACTGCTGAACATAAACCGTCCCATAAGGGGAGTTTTGCCAGTAGTTGCCACGCTTGGCAGGTAGGTTGGCAAACGTAGTAAGCTTTAACAGATATTTTAAGAGGGACGCTGCTGCACATCCCTCCACCATAAGCTCCCTTAGTCGCCTCTTTCGACACCCACGGGAAAGAAAGGGGTGGCCCATTCTATGCCGGGAGCGACACGGCGATATCACGTATATGTATATCTTAACAATGTTACAAACCATAGTTATAAAGATCAAAGAGTGTCCATCTCAATACGAGATGGACACTGTTAGCACACTGACCAGGCGAATCAGTATAAAATTTAACACAATTGCTTTAAAAAGTATTTACTATATTTCCATAGGAGGCTTTTACGACATCTTGGAAATGAACAAGAGTGGAACATAAATTTTATTCAACCACATACAGTCAGCAGGCATTTAATAACGAATGGGAACTTATCACAAATCTCGTACTCGGCAACACCACCGTGGAGTGTAATAAATTAGTCGTAATGTCAAAATACACAAATCGGAAATTGGTAATTTTAATATATAATTTATTACCCTAGCCTGATGGATGGCCAGGTTTAGATTACCACGGTCAGGTTTGAAATAAATATTTGCTCTCCTGTACAAATATTTGTCCTGCTATGTGAATTCGGGCCTCGAAGATGAAAGTCACTCACTTATCATTCCGACAAACAGGGGATTTGGACACTGGATTAGATTTATTAGGGTGGAAAAATTATAATCCAGTATTTTTTAAAAAATAAATAAAAATGGTCACGCCTATGACCCCAAATGGGGTCAGGAATTTTGTATTATCATTGTGGTAAACGGCATTATTTACGGTACTCGTTTAGCAAACATTTTCATTTTTTTCTCAGAAGAAATTAACATGGAAACTCATTTGTCACGGAGAAACGAATGGGTTATACCGAACTCCTACTACCCCCATAAATATATTTTAATTATGTTATGTAACATAGAACAAACAATAGACTGATACCTCACCTTACAGAAGGTGATAATTTTCACTTAATGATATGGACCATAGTAATAAACATAGACGTTCATGCTATATATGTCTAATATATAAGTTCTAGGACTTTATACGTCTTCTGAAGACTAAAAACAAAACTATATCCCAAGGCGAGAGTGACTACTTTCCCACTAGTGGGACGTTGATTGATAGTTAATGGTAAGGATATACTATTACATATCTGTATGCTCTTTTTTTACGATCGACAGTCACACTTCCAAACAGGTGTTACTGTGTGTGTGACTCGTTAATCTTTATCCATGTATGTGTAAATCGGGATATCAGAATATATATATATATATATATATATATATATATATATATATATATATATATATATATATATATATATATATATATATATATATATATATATATATATATATATATATATATATTATTGAAACTTCTTTGTGGCCGTAATGTAAATTTAAGTCTGGCCACATATATATGTTGATATTATTTTTCTACACGTTTTTTGTTTCTATTCAAATGGTTGTCTTGTCTTGTATCTACACGTATTATATATATATTGTTGTTCTAAAGAATATTATCTTTCACTGTGACCCTCTACAATGGTTATGGGCCTGCACAATAAGTGAGACTAAGTAAAGAACGATATATAATAAGTGATAATTCGGTAAGTTTGTAATTTTTACAAAAGACAATGGCGAGTTCGAGTATAAGATTTGAACCTCTTAATCGTGAGAATTACGATAGTTGGAGGATTCATGCACAGGCACTACTCATAAAGAATGAGGCCTGGTCCTATGTTAGTGGTCGTAAGCCAAGACCGACCGATGTAACAGAATTGGAAAAATGGGAAGCAGAAGATGAAAAAGCACGTTCGGATATAATTTTATCCATGAGCAGTAGCGAACTGCGGCACGTAAAAGGGTGCACAACTTCACGCGAAGTATGGATGAAATTAGAGTCATTATATGCTTCGAAAGGTCCAGCAAAAAAGGCAACCTTACTAAAACGACTCACATTACATAAAATGAATGAAGCCGATG